CCCCCCCCCCCCACGCCCTGATCGTGGGATCCACTGTGGTCATCCCCATCACCACCTCCACCTCGGCCCAATACACCCGCCCCGTCCGACACCAAACCCGCAGTGGCAAAGCAGGCAACTGCCACCCCCTCCCCCTCCTCCCCACCCCCCACCCCACCCCACCCCACCCCGCCCCACCCCCACCCCCCATGGCACGCATCGTCCCTTGGCGCATTGCCCCGCCTCCCCTCGTGGCGCAGCGCCTTGCCGCCGTGGCCTCGGCACCGCTGGAGGTGGTCGACGAGCCCGGGCCGACCTCGTTTGTGGTGGCCGACACCTCGGCCGGCCGTCCCGCCCGCCCGCCCAGCCACCTCAAGGGCGTCCTTGCTGCGCTGGGCGCTCCGCTCGCCCACACTGTCGGCCGCCGTAGCGGCAAATCCCGCTCCGGCCGTAGAGGCACGCTCTTCCATGTCTTCCTCGGCGACAAGCACGGGTGCTCATGCGGCGAATCCGACGCCTGCCTGCACATCCTCTTTGTCCTCACTGCCGTCCTCGGCGTCTCGCCCTCGGATCCGATGGTCTGGCAGCTCTCGCTCAAAGAGCACGAGCTCGACGCCATCCTCCGCGCCCGCCCCACCAAGCGGGTCCAGGCCAAGTCGCGCCGCCCGTACGTCCCGCCGCCGTCGCGGAGGTCACGCCGCGCGCTCCGCGCCTCGTACGCACCCACAGCCTCGCGCTCCTCGCTCCTCGACTCGACCGACGCCTCGGGACCACATCCCACCCGCGCCGCGCTGGTTGCAGACTCGGCGCCCGGCACAGACTACGCCATCGCTTCCGCAAAGTATCCGCTCTCTACCGCCGCCCGCACCCGCCGCGGGCCGCCCACGCGCCACTCGGTCTCCATCATGGCTGAGCGCGTCAAGCCGCCGGACATCTCCTCTATCATCCACCATCGCAAGCAAGCGTTCAACCAGCTCCGCGACCTCATTGACTACGAGGCCCATCAGGCAGACCTCCTCCACTCGGAGCAGACCGCCACAGAGCGCGCACTCTCCAAGCGTGAGCAGCTCCTCGCCGCCCGCCGCGCAGCCCTTGCCGAGCAGTCAGACATCCGCACCGCACACCACAACATGGTCCTCGACCGCGTCTTTGAGCTCGAGGCCGAGCGCAAGGCTCGCATCCTCGCCGAAGCAACCTCCAAGCAACAGCGCTTTGCCGAGGCTCGTGCAGACGTCCTCGCCCGCCGCTCACGCCGCCTCGCAGCCCGTCGCGAGCAGGAGGAAATTCGCCTCGCAGAGGCCCGCCACTATCTCCGCGAGGAGCAGGATGCCCGCGCCGCAGACGCCCAGCGTATGCTCGCCGCCTACGACAAGCGCGTCGCCGCCATCCGCAACCTCCGCTCCGAGCGCGACCGCATGTACTCTTCTGTCCGCGACGAAGAGGCCCGCTTTGCAGAGGCAAAGGAGGAGCTCATGTCGCTCATCCTCTCATCTCGCGGCAAGGACTTTGACCCCTCGCGCTTTGCCGCCCTCGTCGACCAGCTCGAGGCCGAGTCCAACCAGCGCCTCAAGAAGACCTCCGCTCGGGTCTCCACACGCCTTGGCACCGCCCCAGACTCGACACGGCGCTCTCGCCGTCCCGCAGACGCAAACTGAGCCATCAGCGTTTGCCTTTTACTGTCGGCTCTCACTCGAGCCAGATGCGCACAACGCCGTCAAACCCGGCCCGGCACATCGGGCAGTTGGCGGTTCCGCGGCCCACAAGCTGTGCCACGCATCCGTCGCACACGCGATGTCCGCACGGCGTCAGCACTCGGTCTGCAACCTCGCACATGCAGATCGGGCACTGCAACCCGCTCTCCAGCGACTCCACTTGCGCTTCCGCCGCCGCCGCCACCGCCGCCGCCTCCGCCGCCTCAGCCTCCAGCCGCGCCACCTCTGCGCCGAGCGCCACGCGTTCCTCGAGCATCTTCTGCACCGAGCGCGAGTCGATCTCCTCTGGAAGCCCCAGCGCCGCAGCCATGTACGCCACAACCGCCGCCACCTCGCCGCCGTCCGGCCTTGCGCTCGCGCCGGCCACATGCCCACCGCCTCCTCCTGCAACAGACTCCGCACCGCCTGCTGCGGACGCATCCTGCCCGCCGACCCCACTGCTCACGCCAAACACCCACACACTTGTGCATGCTAGCTCAGCCCTTCGCAGCTCGACATGCTCGGGCCACGCCTCGAGCGCGCCATCGGGCCAATTGCTAGCCGCTGCCTGCCAGCCCCCTACGTCGACCACAACAGCACGGAGGACAGAACTGACCGATGACGCCAGCTCTTGAACAACCACCCCGTGCACAAAGAACTCGGCCCCGGGCCGAGTCCCACGCCACGCATCAACAGCCACAACCTCGCCGCGCCCAAATCGTTTCAGCGGCTTGATCGCTAGCTGTCTCACCTCGCAGTCTCCGACCGGACTACCGGGCACACCGCGCGACTCCAGCGACGGCCACATCGGTCGCTCCTGAACAGCCGCCGCACCCCAAACCTCGCGGAGTACCTCCATCGCGTCGCCGCCACAGGCATCCGCCACCGCTTCGGCCACCGCTATCGCCATACTGGCCTCGTCACCGGCACGGATCCACACCTGCCCATCGGCCGCCGCCCACTCGACAGTAGCAACCTGCACCGCGCCGTCCCCGCTCGCTCGCACCTCGACCTGCACTCCGACATCTGCAGCCGGCGTCGTCATCACTTTCCATCCCGCCAGCTTGCCTTGCCATCGCGGCCAGACCTGCCACTCCCCGACCACCCGCCAGCTCGGCTCAGCCGCCACTCCCACCGCAAGCCGCGCATCCAGGCTCGGATGAACCACCGCACTTGGCGCGATGGCCACCAACTGCTCACGCACGCTTGCTGGCAGCAGCTGGCAGAGCATTAGACGCGCGCCAATGCGCAGCACCGCATCACCGTCGGGCAGCAGCCGTGGCGCCACACTAGAGCTCCGCACAAGCGCGGTGTACCCGGCCATGTGATACGGCGAGAGCCACATGCCAGCGTGCACCACAGACGCCGCCTCGACCTCTGCAAGCATCTCGCGGCTCTGCGCCTCACTCACACGCGGCCGCACCCCAGAACCCGAAGCAACCGGAGGTACGGGTGGAATGCGCTCGGCACCTCGGCGACAAACGGCTCCCACTCTCCGCTACACGCCTCAAACACCATCCGCGGCGGCAGCAACCGCGAACCCGAGACAGGCACCACCGCCGCACGTTCCAGAACACGCACCGCCTCGCGGCCATCCTCCAGCCCGCTCTGCACCAGCTCGTACATCGCGCAAAAGGCAGCATCCACCCCGCATCCGACCAGATCCAGCGGCCACAGCTCGAGGTCGTCCTCGCTGATGGCAAGCAAGTTGGCCACCACCGTCTCCAGCCCAAGCGGCTGCACCACGCCCAGCAGCATCGCCACATCGCGCCGCGGCTCTGCACATGCCTCCATCACAGGCTTGACCTTGAAGCACAGCGCTGCGTCGCCCGGCAGACACGCATCCGCGTACCGCACCAGCTCGCTACGTCGCGCACCTGCCACCGTCGCAGGCACAATCCGGAGCATACCCAGAGCACTCGCCACCTGCCGGTTGCCGGCGAGCACCCGCGTGCTCAACTCGCCGGCCAGTGCACTCGCCAGAGCTCGCCCGCCCGCCACGTTACCCGGATCGCGGTCTACGAGCTCGGCCAACGCTACCACAGACTCGCAATCCACGCTGCAACGCATGCCAAGCGCGGACAGAATGCGTTGCCAGTGCGCGTCACCCCGGAGCTCTTGCGGCGGTAGATGTGCCGCTCCGCGTGGCCCACTTCGGGCGACATGAGCACGGCGGCAAAGAGCGGGACACGCTCGTCAAACAGCTCGCACGCCCGCAGGCAAGCTTCACCAAACACCCGCGCCTCCCGCAGCACGCTCATTGCACCCGCGTCGCCGCATAACTCGTCCCAGTGCTCGCCAATCCAGTCCACAAACCGAGCCTGCATTACAGGACTTAGCATCGCATACCCACCGTCGACACCAACAAGCTGCAGCGCAGCGCCCACATCGACTTCCACCACACCTGCAGCCGCGTACACATCAGCGTACCGAGCGTCAGCGCCAACGAACATAGCCCGTAGCTCATTGCTCGTCTCTGCCGACTCTAGTGCACCCGCAAGAAGACCGTCAAGCACGCTTGCATCGTTGAGCACATACCGCGTCGCTTCGTCGCTGCGCGGAAGCGCCACGTAGGCGCCATCGAGGTCCGGAAAGATCGGCAGCTGCCGCGTAAGCTCGACATCAAGAGCCTCGCCGTCGCGCACAAGCGCAATAATCGTTTGCGCCAGCTCACGCCGATGCCGGCGTCCGAGCTCCGCCAGCTGGGACCGGCCGACTCTGCTCTCGCCTAGCCACCGCATCAACGCCCGTCCAGCCTCCTCGTCACTCGATGCTGTCACGCCCGCAAGACTCACCGAGCCACATGCCTCACCCAGCTCCCGAGCCGCAAGCAGCCGCATGCCTAGCTCCGCCATCATCTCCAGTGTGCCCCCTGTCGCGCAAGGTTGCCTGTCGGCAGCACGCACTGAGGCAGCAGCGAGCCGGAAACGTACACCACTTGCTCGCCACGGAGCGGAAGGAGCGGCAGCGCTTCCAGATCGCCCATCACATCGGCGGCCTGCTCTCCGCGACTCTCAGCCTCAGCCACCAAATAAGCCCACACCAACTGCACCCACTCGGCAGCCGCCGGCGTTGCGGCTTCGCCCTCGACCGGTACCTCTGCCATCGACGGTGCCAGCCGCGCGAGCACGTCCGGGCTAAAAAACGTGACCCCGAGACCGTGCTCCAGCGCGACGCCCTCAGTCTCACAAGGATCAAGGCCGTCCAGCACAGCGTTGAACACCCGTGCTACGCTCATGTTCACCCACGAGCCGAGCACTGGGAGCAATCGGTAGTGGTCGTCGTCGGCCGTCCGAGACAGCAGCAGCGGCGCTCGTCGGCGCTGCGCACGCACAGCCTCCAGCGCCGCCACTCGCTCCTGCGCCTTGGCACTCTCGCGCCGCCGGAACGCTGCCCCAATGCCCGAGAGCAACGAGCCGATCAGCGAGGCGTCGCTCGCATCGTCGCGAAGGTCTGCAAACGCCTCCAACGTCCCACCCATCGTCGCCAGAACACGTACACCCTCCAGACTCGCCAGGGCGTCAGCGAGCGGGCCCTCGCGATCATTGCCGAGCACGTCGCTTACCACAAAGGCAAGCACCTCACCCACCTGGGCCATAGAATCAAAGTGCGCCATGCCAAGCCCGTCCGCGGTAAGCACCCGCCGCAGGGCCTGAGGCGTGAGAAACTGAACATCGCCTCCGCCGGTCTGCCGCAGCTGCCTCGCCACCTGCGAGCTGAGTCCCGGAGGCAAGTCATGGAGTGCAAAGAACTTGGCACCAAAGTCGACAACGCCAGCAGACGCCCCATCTTCAACCAGCATGCCTTGATCCGCCGTTACCCAGCTCGCCGAGCTCGACGCCAGCTTCCACACCGGCCGCGCCACCATCGCGGTGTACAGCGGACCACGTAGCTGGCGCTCCAGCCGCGGATCGCGGAGATCACTCGGCCAAGTTCCGTAGTACGTCTCCGGCTGAGCCAGCGCCGCTTGGCTCGCAAGCGACTCGAGAAGCATCGCGTATGCGCCCACCACATTTTGCGTGAGGAGCTCTGCGTTGAACTCGGCAATCCGGACCAGCTCCGCCACATCCAGGCTGCTCGGCGCGCCGATTCGCACTCGGTCGGTCCACACCACGTCCGAGCCGAGCGGATCAACCACAAATCCACCGCTCACCAGCACCGGGAGCCCAGCCTCCTGCCGGCCAGCCCCCAACGCCAACGGCGCCACCATCTCGCCGGCGCACGGCCCAGGACTCACCCGCGCCGCCACCGCACCCATCGGATACAGCCCAAGGCTTGCGTTAGCTTTGTCGCGCGCCATTGCACGCGTTCCACCGGCACCCACCAATGCCACCACCCGCCACTGCACCATCTCCGGCTCGCCCGCCTCGGGTCGCACCACTCGTATGCCTAGCGAGACATCAAGCCGTGTCGGCTGAAACGCAAGCATCCGCCACCCGACCCACTGCGTCGAGGTGAACAGAGCGTTGCGGCGTGCAAGCTGCTCCTCGCCACCCGCGAGACTCACTCGGAAGACCTGGCTCGTCTCGCCGTCTTCATCAACGGCCACAGTGCGCACATCCGCAACGCTCCGCAGAAACACAAGCATCGAGTCGGCACGCGCTGCAAGACTTTCCGCAAGCACCGCCAGCGCCGCGCTGTTGGCCACGCCGCCCGCAAGCGGGACTCGGATTACCGTCCCGCCCACCCGCCGACTGGGGGCAAGTCCCAAGACACCGAACGGCGCAAACTGGTCCGGGAACCGAGTCACCACCTTGGAGTTGTGAATCTCGTACGCCGTCGCTTGTCCGCGCGACGAGCCCGAGCTCCCCGCATTGTCGTTCGGACCAAGCTCAGCCGTGAGACACTCGCCACTCGGGTCAAACAGCGCAAGTGTCGAGCCAAACAGGACTTGGACGAGCGGCCCGACCACAAACGCTCGGCGGAGCAGACCTCGCTGCACCGTGCCGACCCGTGGATCGGCCATAAACTCGCCCAGCAGCGAGAGATCGAGCTCCACCCCAGGCACAAGAAGAACAAGCGCTGGGCCCTGCCCAGCCGCAAGGCCCGGTTGGAGCAGCGAGACGCTAGCATGGTGCCGCGCATCAAGCACCAACCGCGCCTTGCGTGCACCCATGGCATCAGCCACCAGCATCAGATCCGTTGCCACGCGGAACAAGCCGTCCGCGGTCGATGCGCCCCACAGCGCCGCAAGCGGCGCCAGCTCCGCCGACCCAGGACACCGCAGCTGGGTCGTCGCCTCGTCGTGCGCAGTGAGCAGATTGCGCAGCGAGAGGCTCACACTGGCTGCCACCACACTCGCCGGCACCTTTGCATGCACCACATAGAACGCGCCCTCAGCCTCCTTGGCCGCAAGCGCACTCGGATCCAACCACTGCGCATCGTTGACGTATGCCCGACTCGCTGCCACCACCCGGTGCGAGACTGTCGGCACAAACACCTCATCCAGCTCAAGGCCTTCGTCTATCGCTCCGCCCAGAGCCCGCAGCACACCCAACATCAGATCTAGCTCGCGCTCAGCGAGTATGCCGCCGTCGCCCACAGAAGCGGCCACTGCATCAGTACACGCCACCAGCGCAGCAGGAGCGAAATGCGCGGGAACGCCCAGCACTTGGTATGCAGCCACAAAAGACGTCGGAAGCGTCGTCGGCACTACCCACAGCCACGGCGCGAGATCGCCCACGCCCTCGGCCGCAAGCTCCTTGCCTGGCGAGAGTGCGCACCGAAGCGGCGGCACAAAGCCCCCGTCACCAAGCCACACCACCGGAAGCTTTGCCACAGACTCGGGTGCTGGCTGCGTTCGTGGCGGCAGATCCGCCAGCGCGTTGTAGACTTTGTCCAGCACATCCTCGATGCCGTCCCACTGTACACACTCTTCGGTTAGCATGCGTGCCATGCCCTGCAGCTGCAGCACTAGTGAGGCGCCAGTCGGCGGCGCGGACCATCCCAGCGCGTCGCAGAGCTTGGGTGCGCGACTCAACACATCCCCACCCAGGGAAGGGTGCGCCACAGCATGCGACCCAGACCAGAGTGCCCAGCTGTCGACGCCCGGCGGCTTGCATGCCGTCGGCGGCGCCCGGCCGCTGCTCCCCGCATCGCATCGCGGCAGGAACGGATGCGGCACATTGGGGTCGAGTGGGAGCCACGCAATGTCAAGCAATTCCAGGACCCGGCTTGGGCTGTTGCGGCTGCCGCTCCACTCGCCGCCATCATCGTCAGAGTCGGAGAACGAGTCGCTCAAGTCGGTTGAATCAGGCTCGGACTCACCCATCAGCACTGGCCACACCCGACCCAACCAGCCAAACAGTTCCACTGCCCGCTCAAGGCTTACCGCGTCCGGCTCGGCTGCCGCAAGCTGGCGCGCCGCAGTCATGGCCGCATCAACGTCGGCGGACGGTCGCAGGCCAAGGACCGCAAGCCCGGCAAGCACCTCGGGAGAGCTAAACTCAGGTCCAGGCACCTGACTCTTGGCGTCCAAAAACGGCGCAGCCATCCTGGCATCAGGGTGGTACAGCTCGGCAGCAGTGACCAGCGTGCCACTCCGCGTCGCCACCAGCGGTGTTCTCCGCAGCTGCTCAACAAGAGGAGCCTCTTCCACCAGCGACGGCAGCCGTGCCAGAAGCACCCGCATTTGCTCCGAACGCACAAGCTCCGGAGCTAGGACCGATTGGCTGCTGCTCGCCAGCTGCGGGAGGAAGACTTCGCGATAGAACCGTGTCTCATTGAGGATGGTCACACCCAGCGCGCCGAGCGCGCCGCGCTCGGCCGCGCTCCGTGCCACCACAAAGACTCGCGGCCGCGACCCCGACGGTGTTGCCAAAGAGTCAGCGTTGAGCGAGCCAAGCAACGTGGCATCACATACCGAGGCAGGCGGGAGGACCGCATCGACACCGCACAGCGCCACCCGCTGCACAACTCCGTCAGCCCCGTAGATCGTCACCAGCGGCATCCGCGTGACAAGCGCCGAAAGCGCGGCGCTGCCAGCAAGTGTCTTGGCACCGACTGGTAACGCCAGCGCCGACAAAAGATACTCAGCTACCACCTCGAGTGCAGCCTCACGCTTAGGCGAGGCCTGCCAGTCGCTCTCGGCCCAGCCTGCAGTCACGGCATCAAGCGCTGTGGCAATCGACCCCAGCTCGCACGACGCCATGTGGCCCGACATCCATCCGTGGGCGGCAAGGAGGCCTGGCTCGGCAAACGTAAGCCCAAGCACACGCAGAGCGTCGCAAACATCTTCATCCATCCCTGAACCATCGCAGAGACCCGGTTGAGCCATGGCAACCAGCCGGAGCCCGTCGTGGGCAATGACCAGCGGAAGGTCAAAGAGCACGCTGCGCGAGGCAAATACCGCGTCTTCGACACCACACCACACCGCATCCACCCACGCGCGAGAGAGCCACGGCTCGCTTCCCAGCTGCGGGCAATCACCAGCAGTGTCTAGCCCACGGGCGAGCACATACCGCAGCTGCTCGGCATTCTCGGCCCAGACCAGGTTTGCAGCCTGCGGTTCAAGCGCCGCAAGCCAGGCCAGTACGTCGTGGAGTTGAGGCGGCACCACAGACGCATCGACCACGCCAATGCCCCCGGCCGCTGCCGCTCGCTCAATCGCGAGACGCAGACTCGGTACAGACACTGCCACCACCGTGGTAGGCGGCGGCGCAATCGTCTCCACCCGTCCATCAAGCAGTTGCAGCAGCGGAAGACCCATGAGCTCGGGCAGCGCGACAAGATCCAGCGGAATGAGATCCGACATCAAGTACCCCACCAACTCGTCGGTCTCGGACATCTCGCCAACAAGTGCGCCAGCGACGCGCTTGGAGCCGTGCTCGCGAAGCATGGCCCGAACCAGACCTGGCGAAAGCGCGTTGGCGGTCGGCCCCAGCGAGGCCAAGACAGCAGACGGTATCGGTACAAGAGTGTAGCCGAGGCTGGCTACGACGCGGGCCACACGCGAGTTGGACACTGCCTCGAACGCTTCTGATTCGACAAGGACAAACGACGGATGCAATATCGAACGATCGTCGCCGAAAAGTGGCAGCACCGGTAGCAAATCGACGTACATCGCGTCAATCATCGGTGCAAAGGCCTCGCTCGCCAGGTTCAGCCGGTGTGGCCAGCGGGCCACAATGTCGCCAGGCAGTGGATTGGGTCCCATGCTCAAGACCACCCCCACAAGCGCTAGTGAGGCGGTAAACGGAAGCAGCCCGCGGAGAAGAGCGGCGTTCCAGGCAGCGCGCTGGGCAGCTACACCTTGCTCGGTTTGGGATGCACTCCACAGCTCGCGTCGATTGGACGAGACCTCAAACGATGCCGACATCCACAGCGGAAGACCCGAGTGGAGCGGGAGCGGAAGGCCTACAAAGACTCGCGAGCAAGCTTCGGTCACCTCGTTGCCACTGCTCGCGAGCGGGATGGCGACTTGCGCAAACGGCACCAGTCGAACAACACCGCGCTGCTTGGCGTTTGCCTGCTCAACCGCGAGCCGCGTCGCCTCGACACCTCCCACTGCTGACGCGACAGCAAACGCGGTGGTGGATCCCGATGGCGCGTGTACGAGCGACATGGTGGCAAGCGAGTGAGCAAGAATACCCGCCGCCGCTGCATGCCCAGCGAGCATGCTGTGTCCCGGCTGCTGCTCGATCGTCTGCAGCCAGCGCGCAAACGCGGCCCTCGACGCGCGCGCAGGCGGCGGCACCACGAGTGAACCTCCTGGCGCAAGCACAGTGCCCGGCGCTGAGAGCGGCGACGCCTTGAGAGCGGCACGCGAAAACGCAAACAGCTCGCCCGCACCATGGAGGTCGGCATGAGGAAAACCAGCAGCCACCACAAGTGCCTGCTGGGCTTGGCTCGGCAGCGGGGCGTCGGCGAAAACGCGAAAGCTGAGACGAGAGACAGAGGAGAGGAAGAGCAGAGAGCCGGCGGCGTCGGGCGCAGCTTCAAACGCCGCGAAAAGATCAAGGATGGCACGCGGCGAGACTTGCCCACCAAATGCCGAGTCACGCGCCTGGACCGAGGTTCGCAGCGGGAGCCGGAACAGCGTGCCGTCGAGCGGTGCATCCAGCCGGTGACCCAGGACACAGAACGGCGCAAACTGGTCCGGAAACATGCTTGCCAACCCCGGATCCAGCCGCAGGCGGATGCCGGCCGACGCCGACGGAAGGTGCCTTCCGTGTGGATCAAAGACCACCAGCGATGAGCCCGAGACAAAGGTGAGCGTGTCGGTGACGTGGTAGGTGGCACATACACCGAGGCCAAACTTGCCAGTCGCTGCCGCATCCGCCGCCTTGGCGCCCTGTCCTATAGACGCAATGGCGGCGTAGTCTGCATCTGTGAACGGGGCGTCGTTGTAGACGAGCAGCGCTGGTCCCTGAAGTTCAGCCATCGAGTCGGCGAGGAGCTTGTCGCGTGGATGGTTGCGAAGGTCAAGGCAAAATACAACCTCGGACGCACCGGCATCGTTTGCGTTCTGCACCAGCTCGTGGAGGAGACCGAGGCCGAATGGATAGAGATCGAGCACACCGGAGATGGTGTGGGTGAGCGACTGGGACTGCGAAAACTCCTCCGCGTTAACAGCGGCTAGCGCCATGTGATCCGACGCCCGCGCCCAGAGCAGCGCCCGTAGCGACTTTGCGCCGAGCGCAAGCGCAACCGACGTGGCTAGCCCGTCGTGAACATACACCACATCAGCGGCCCCTACGCCGTCTGGCAGTGCCCCGCTGCCTGACTCGACCCACTGCGCGTCGTTGGCGGTGAGGCTTGCGGCTGGCACCAGTCGCCGCCGGGTATCCGGCAGCAGAACAGCGCCGCGCTCGTCGGGCGTGAGCGTGTGAACAATCGAGGCGAGATGAATCAGAATGGCGGTCACCCGCTCGAGCGAGATCGGCCAGGCTGTCGGCCCCGCGCTCGCCACCTCCGCGAGCACCTCGAGATAGACCCGGGGTGGAAACGCGGGAGGCACCCCGGCGGCGACAAAGAGCGGGCCAAACGGAACCATGTCTGCAGGCACGACATACCGCAGCGGGCGGAGGTCAGTGACCGCCGAAAACGCCACCACGCCGGCTTCAACAAACGCCGAGCCCTGGAAAATCCACCGGATGCCCGGCCTACAGAGACGCTCCATCCAGTCAGGGCGCGGAGCCGAGGCTTCACCAAGCGCCGATGCAAGTAGCGCGTACACATGCGGAACAATGCGAGCCAGTGCGGCACCGGCGTGGGCGAGATCAGGCGCTTGCAGTTGACCAAGCGCCACCAGCTGGGCAACTACCAGCTCAGAATCAAGGTCCTCAGCACCACCTGGCCAGCCAAGAGCATCGACAACGTGGCGCGGCCAGGCGAGCGAACGATGGCTATCGAGCACAAATCGGGAGACCGAAGCGTATGCAGCCAACTGCGGAGGAACGACATCTCTTGGGGCAGCGGTCGGTCGAGCTTCCTCGGCTCCGCGCCAGGGGAGCCATGGCAGGTCATTCGGTGGGCAGCCGGCAACCGGAAGCCACGGCGTCGAGCGGAGAGCGGTAAGCTGGTGTTCGGTGAGCGACGACACCAGTCGCGGCTGAACGGCAAGGTACTCGAGGAGCAAGCTGCCGCGGTCGCAGGCTTGATCTGCAGCGGCGCTTTTTGCAGCTGCCACAACTGCATCGGGTGTGAGCCGACTACGCAGACCGAGGCGCCGCAGCGCATGCAGAGGGATCGGAGCCGTGTAGCCCTCGGCCGGAAAGTGGTTTGGCGGGAGGAGGACTGCAAGCTGAGACTCATCGCTTTGAGGATCATACAGCTCATTGGCACGGGCGCGGGCGCAGCTGTCGCCGCCGGCCCGGAGCACAAACGGAAGCGAAGCAAGGATGTCAACCGCTACGGGATATTCGTCGCGGAGCGCGTCGACGTTCTCTAGCGCCAATCGGATGCCGACATCGATGTGACCCGGGAGTGGCACAGCCTCGTCGGCAGAGAGCAAGTCTGCAAGCCATGGCACAAAGGCGCGGGCAATGACTCCAATGCTGTCGAGCTGCTCGACGAACGGCGCGAGCCAGACAGCAAGCCCATGGACAGACGCTGGCAGCGGCGCAAGACATGACGGCGCCAGCAGCGCACTCGGTGTGGCCGGCGGGACAAGAAAGTGGGCACCGAGAGAGCCGAGCTGAGTCCCGCCTCCGCACGCAATGTGCGGCCACATCGGAGCTGCAATTAGGCTCGCTGCAAAGTCAGCAGTGTGCGGCGAGTCGAGGTTGGCGTGGGTGCTGGTCTTGAGGTCAGCAAGCAGAGAGCGTAGTGTGTTCGCATCACTAGCAGAGAGTGTGCTGATGGCAGCCGCAAAGTCTGACGGAGCGACCGAGGCTGCGCGCGCCAGGCCGTCAAAGGAGAACTCGTGCGCAAGACCTGTGAGCCCGCTGCGCGTCGCCGCCACAGGAAGCCCAAGCGAGAGCAACAGCCGCGGAAGGTCGGCTTGGTTGGCCAGGAGCGAGGCGGCGTGCGGCGGCAGAACAAGTCGCGACGTCGCAAGCGACGATGGGACCGGGTATCTGTCAGTGGCGGCGAGAACAGGGACCACTTGCGCTCCAGCAAGCTTCGTCGCGCTGCCTTTGCGCACTTTCATGTAGGCGAGTACGGCGTCTGGCGACGCCGACGCCACGGCGACAAGGTCGCGTTGTGGAAGGTCACCCGGCCCAGCTACGACAACAAGACGATGCCCAAGCCGGTCTGGCGTTAGCGAAGTGAGCATGTCGAAGACATCGGTACCCTCGACAGCAGAAGCCACGCTGCGCTCGGGGAGAAGCGCAGCAAGAAGCAGCGCCTCGGGAGAGTTTGGGGCAGCAATGTAGGCGCCCTGCGCAGGAAGCGGGGAAAACTCTCCAGAAGCGAGCGGGAAGAGCGGGCCGTCCCCGCTGAGATCTAGTCCGGGGGTAGCTGCTAGCCAGGCGAGCAGCGCAACGCCAGGCTCGCTCACCGGGTAGCGCGGTCGGAGAGGCAGAACGCTGGCAGTAATCCATGCAGGTGCAATAGTGGCCTTCTCTATCGCCGCTGATGTCGCTGGCGAGCATGCCAGTAATCGAAGGAGATGAGGCGGCGACGTCGTTACCATGTGGGCGGGATCGTCGACGCAATGAGCAATGGCGAGTGCCAGCGGCGAGTCGGCTGGCACCGACGGTGGTAAGAGACGGGCGTCGGGAAGTGCAACAAGACCCGCGTCAGGGTTGTCGGGAACAAAGAGCGGAAGCGGTGGATCCAGAGTAGAGGATGCAAGCGGCGCAAGCAGCGAAGACCAAGGCGGGTGGACGGAAGTTGGCTCCGGGAGCAGATCGGCAGGCAAAAGGCGATGGGCGGAGAGACCAGGCCGGGAGACGAGCGCGAGGCCAAGGCTGAGGAGCGGCGGGATGCCCTCGGTGATGAGGGCATTGTTCCAGTCGGCACGGGTCTTACCAAGGCCGGTCAAGTCAAGGCCATGCCAGATGTCGCGCCGGTTGGACGAGAGCTCAAAGGCACCGTTGATGTGAAAGGCGAGCCCGGTGTGGGTCGGAAGCGGGAGGGTGCAAAAGGCTCGACCGAGGCAGCCGCGATGAAGTGGGAGCGCGAGGCCGACAAGCGGCAGAAAGGTGAAACCAAATTCGATGAGCGTCTCGTCAGTGGCGAGGGCGAGCGGCTGCCCGCCTGTCAGGCCCTGAAGAATCAGGAGCGATGTCGTGACATCAGGCGAGCCGCTGCGAGCAACGGTTACATCGAGGACGTAGGCGACGGTTGTAGACGCGGCCGAGGCCTCGATCCAAGCGGTTGGCGTCGAACCTACAACTTGGTTGAGAAGCGACCGCGGCGAGGCTGACGGCGGCAGCAACGTGAGCGGGTGCCGTGGCAGCGGGAGCTCCGGCGGCAGAGATCGGGTGGCGGCGGTGAGAGAGACAAGCAGAGAGGGAGCGCTAGCACCGGCCTCCCACACTAACAGGTTGACACAGGCGACGTGCTTGAGAAAAAGGAGCATGTTGTGGGCGTCGTGCGCAAAGTCGTCGAATAGCTGCAGTATATCGTCAGAGGTAAAGGCCTCCTTGGAGAGCTCGGACGCCGCTGCCTGGTCTTCAGTCCGGAGGGGAAGCCGGAAGAGGGTGCCATCAAAGTTGGAACCGGCAAGCGGATCATAATCGGCCTGGCCGGGCGCAAGAGCTCCTGCCGGCAGCGCATACGGCGCAAACTGCGATGCGTGCGACGAGAGCGCATCGGCGACGCCAGGGTCGGTCATGTCGATGGCGGTGCCCGGATCGGCGGCGGAGACCCGAGGAAGCGAGCGCAGCGACGGGTCAAAGTATACAAGCTTTGAGCGCGAGACAAACGAAGGAACTTCGGTGAGGTGGTAGACAGCACAGAAGCCGATGCCGAAGCGGCCGGTCTTGGTCCGCAAACTCGCCTTGCCCGAGTCGCCGACGCGCTGGATCGACTCAAAGTCGGCATCCGAGAACACAGCGTCGTTGTACGCCAGCAGCGCTGGACCCTGAAACGGGGCGAGTCCCGGAAAGGCCAGCGAGTCTGTGTCAAACTCTCGCTTGTCGAGGCAGAGCGCGAGTGTCGCCGCACCGGCATCGTCTGCGTTCTGCAGCAGCTCCCGGAGGACCGAGACGCCAGCGGGGTAGATGGCAAGGATCTCCCTCAGGCGGGTGGTAAGCTTGAGCTTGGGCCCAAACGACGACCCGAGCTCCATTATGTCTGAATATACGTGCCACTTGCAAGCGAGTCTAATGTGGTGCGCTTGGTGCGGCTGAAGGGCAGGTCGTCGTCGGCGTGGCTGCCTGAGCCGAGTGTGACACTCGGCGGTCGTGGAAGGCGAAGGCGGACTCCTCACTCGTGTCGGCTGGCAACCAACAAGAGGGGGGGGGCAGTCTAACGGGTCACACACTGGTGTGGTGGCAAGACTTCTCGCCACGCATTGAGATGTTCAACAAGCTGCGCAGCCTGGTATCCAAGAAGAAGCGGAGACTTTGTGAGGATGGCTTTGACTTGGACATGACGTACATCGAGGTATGCCGGAAGCCGTTGGCAACGGCGGCGTGAAGGGGTGACAGGGGGGGGAGGGGGGGGGGGAGGGGGAGGGGGAGGGGAAGGCAAGGAGAGCAATGGGCAGGGAACTGACGAGGACGAGGTATGTGGGGCGCGTGTGTGCATGTGCGCGTGTGGGAGCAGCCGAACGTGTTGGCTATGGGGTATCCGTCGACAGGAGTTGAGGGGCTGTACCGCAACCCGCGGGCGCACGTGGTCTCGTTCCTCCATCTCAAGCACGGAGCACACTTTCGGGTCTTCAACCTCTGCTCGGAGCGGCGGTATCCGCTGGATGTGTTTGGGCCTGATGTCAAGGTGGTAGAGCTTCCGTTTGATGACCACAACCCGTGTCCGATGTGGATGATTCTGGAGTTTGTGGCCGAGGCGCTGACGTATCTAGAGGCGGACCCGGACAATGTGGTTGCCGTCCACTGCAAGGCCGGCAAAGGCCGGACAGGGCTCCTCATCTGCTGCCTGCTCATTGCACTCGGCAAGTACCCGACCGCGAGCGCGGCGCTGGAGTACTACGGCAACGCGCGGACAAAGAACGGCAAGGGGTTACGATTCCATCACAGGCGCGGTATGTGCGGTACTACGAGACGGTGGCGGTCGAGGGCGGGCTGCGCGACGCAGTCGATGTGCAGCTGACGAGTGTGAAGCTGTACGGGCCGATGCCACGGTTAGGCGGCGGCGGGATTCGAGCCTCGGTCTCGGTTTACGTCGACGGCAAGGTTGTGGGGAGAAGCAAGGGCGATCCGGTGGTGGCGACCGGGACGGTGCTTGCGGATGTGCCGGTGGAGCTGGCGCTGGAGAGTGTGGCTGGCGGGGAGCTTGTGGTTACCGGCGATGCCAAGGTTGTGGTCCACCACACACGGGCGGTGCGGGGCAAGACCAAAGCGCTGCAGTTCTGGTTCTACACCTCGTATCTGCCAACGTGCGGCGAGCTTGTACTGAGCAAGGCCGGACTGGACAAGGCGTGCAAGTCGTCAAAGTATGCCGACGGCTTCCGCGCGGTGCTGGCGTACGACGCAAGCAACATCAAAGAGGCCGATGCGCCACGCAAGCCAAGTGAGACGTCGGCGCCTGCCACGCCGAGCGGGCGCAAGGCGTCACGGACCGAGCCGCTGCGGGCCGACGCATCGCCGCTTGCGCCGCGGGCGGCGCTGGTTGAGGACGTGTCCGCGTCCGAGACAGTGTACACCTACGAGTACGAGTACGATTATTCCGACTTTTGGACATGAACGAGCACGCGAAGCGATTGCATGGCCTCACTTGCGCTTCTTGCCGCGGCCGCGGCCGCCGCCTCCGCCCTTGCCCTTGCGCTTGTCGACCAGCGTGACGGCCTTGCCGGGCACACCCCACTCGCTGGCGAGGTAGCCGATAACGTCATCGACCTTGTCACCCTGTACAACAAGGTCGTTGTCGCGAACAGTGGCTGAGGCGGCGCAAGCTGTCGAGAGGTCGCCAGCGAGCGATGCGGCGTCGAGCTGCAGCGCCGCGAGATTGGAGACAACTGTGGTGGCCTTGCGCCGATTGCCGCCACGATTGGCGACGGTAACCACAAGCTTGGGCGGCTCGCCGCGAAGCAAGAGCTGGGTACCGTACGGCGGATTAAACTCGGTCACCTTTTTGACAGCGTTGGCGGCGAGCAAAGCGCGAACGAGATCCTTTCGGGCAATGCGTCCGTCGTCGCCCACAAACGCGGCGCGGGCCTTGGCGGTGAGGGCAGAGTCAAGGTTTGCGTCGAGGGCGGTAGCGGCACCCGAGCCCAGCTCGCGCTCGCGGACATAGTTGGCGAGCGCCTTGGTGAGCTTTCCCTGCGGGATCGGAGCATCCTTGCTCGGGTCTAGGCCAAGTGCAAGGAAGAGCGACTCGGCGCGGCGGGCCGGTGCGACGAGCTCGCGGAAGAATGGGAGGGCAGAGGCGCGGGCTTGCGCAGCCTGAGCCGCGGCGCGGCGCTCAGCCTTGGCCGCCGCCGCGGCGTCGTTCTCATACACGGTCCGCGACGCAACGTGGCTTGCGAGGGCCGGGTGCGACGCCGACGCCACGCTCACCACAAACATAACACCGGCCTTGTCCTTGATCGAGATGAGGCCGTCGGCCGCTTGCGACTTGAGGAACTTGGTCAGGTTCTTGAATGACGAAGCCTTGATGGAGACGGTCTCGCCAACAGCACGCGATGGGACGACATATGCCGACATGAAGGTCGACGTTTCGAGAGGGAGCGCGGCCCGAAGATCGGCGCCGCGGGTCTTGAGCGCGTTGAGAAAGGCGTGACGTAGACTGGCGTCGGCCTCGTCGCGCGAGGTGGGTGCGGCCGAAGGGCCAGCCTCGTCGGGAGCGTCAACACGGACTGGATCAGCCGTGTCGGACTCTGCACCCGGGTCGGGCTGAGACTCAGGCTCGGGCCCGGCGGCAGCAGCAGGAGCGGCAGGTCCGGCGAGGTGCGGAAGAGAGCAAACGCCCAGCGGCCAAAGCTGCGAGAGCTCGTCCAGCCATACATGCAGGATCTCGACGGCCTTACCGACCATACCGTAGTGGAGGACATGATCGGCGTCGACGAGGCAGGCACCGACAGCGATGGCGGCCGAGCCTTCAGTAAGAGTGACGGCTACGAGCTCGCCAACGCGCCAGGAGCGGATCTCATCCTGAGTGGCGACGACGCCCGGAAGCATCAGATCGGCACCACCTCGCAGGCGGTCGAGAACCGGGCGATGCGTTCGCATGACCGGAATCGCAGTCGGTGCCATCCACAGGAGGTACACGCTCGGAACGACGTCGGCCAGCTTCCCATTGCTGCGATCAAAGACGAGCGGAATGGAGGCTTCCGAGAAAGCGACAGCCTCGGCCGCCACGTCCGAGTCCGGGCACTCGCGCAAGGCATCCAGAACCTTGTTCAGTGGATGCTCATCGTCACACTTGTTTGCGGTGGAGACGACAGCCTCGTAGATGACCACCCCCTTGGGCTCGCGGATCTTGACCTCGGTCACGGGCGTCTTCTTGTGCAACACAAGGCCGGCAACAGCCGCGGGAAGACCCGGGACTACAGCCTGGAGGGCGGCACGGACCTTCTTGACCACAGCGCCTTTGACCCGGGCCCGGCCGGATGTCTCCAGTGACTTGCGGAACATGGGCAAGAGTGGCGGGGTGGTGAGTGGAGAGGTGTTGCGGGGATCGATCCGATTCGACGAGGCTGGGGGGGGGGGGAGGGGGGGGGGGAGGGGGGGAGAGGGCATGCGCGTGCATATATGTGTGTGCGTGTGTTTGACGCTACTCTTCCGTATCTATTGGCTTGTGGCTTGATAGACAGTCCGATGGAAGACCCAGAGCGAGTGGCGCTGATGGACGGCGCAGCGGCTGGGACTGGCGTCGACTAAGCCTCCTCGAGCTCGACAAGGATGCCGCCGCAGTCCTTGGGATGGAGGAAGACGACCGGCTTGCCGTGGGCGCCGATCTTCGAGTGCTCGGAGAGGGTGCGGATGCCCTTGGCGCGGACGTCGGCCATGGCGGCGTCAATGGCATCGACTTCGAAGCAGATGTGGTGGATGCCCCCGGACGGGTTGCGGTCCAGAAAGTTGGCGATGGGCGAGGCGTCGCCGAGCGGATGAATGAGCTCGACCTTGGCGCCCTCGCCGGGCATCTCGACAAAGACCGTGTACACGCCGTGCTCCTCCTGCGGCTCCGGCTGCGAGACTTGCGCCCCGAGCACATCGCGGTACATGGCGCACGCGGCATCCAGATCTGGCACCGCAATGGCAACATGGTTGAGTCGGCCAAGCCCACCCCAGCCCTGCGGACCCGCTGCACCCGCC